CTTTCATTTCTCAGTTATGTGGAAATATTGCAAAGAAAATTGTTCAATAGCTGAGTCAAGGGTATCGATCTTAAGCTCACGAGTGTGATCTTTCACAGGAGAGATTTTTTTCTCAACTTCAAAAGGCAGCACAGCCCGAACAGTCAGTTGGTTGATGAGAACCTGAGACTGCAGTCCCAGGGCTGATACCTGCCTCTGCCACTGACCACTGAGTGACCCTCCGTGATGGGTTTTTCCTTCCTTGGGCGAGTCTTTTAGCTTTATAGTAGTGTAAAATGAACCTCCTGTGTGAGGCTAGAAAAAGCTCATTATAGTTGCTCTCTGCATCCAGAGCTTTTTCTTTCCTATTGAAAATGGGAAATATCAGCCATGGCACGGGGTGGGCTGTTGCTGTGTAGTGTAGCTCGTTCCAGCCGTAAAAAGCCTGTGCTCAGCAGCCTGGACATGGAAAACATGAGCTGGTCAAAAATGTGTTGTTGAGGTGGTGGCTAGGAGAGCTGTAACAGCACAGCTGGGAACAGGGCGGTAACAGCCCTTTTGTGGCCTGAACCCACTGGTGTGAGTCGTTCACTTGCACTGGACCCAACCGACATGTCGAGGAGCCAGGATTCTTGCTGTAATATTCAGTTTCCATATCCTTCGGGGCCAGCCTGTCAAGCCTGGCTGGGGTTTGGCCTCCAGGACTCCAATAACACAGTTTAAATACCCTTCACGCACTAACTCTTATTCCTTAATTACAAGCTGTCAGTTGTCATCAGTCCTCTGCTACCCCGTTTAGTAACAGGGATGCTGGCCCTGACGCTCCCAAAGTGACAACCCCAAACACCAAGTTCATGGGTTAAACAGAGAGATTTTGCTGGGTCTCCTGATCTGTTCAGCTTCTGCAGATCCCAATAGTCTCCCCCACTTTAAAGAAAGGGCACTTTCTTAAAAAGTTTTTTATTGTTGCGAGGGAAACCGTTAAAATCAGAAGTAAATGCAGCACGCTGTGTGTTAGCCTTCAGACAGCCTGAAGCAATAGCTCAGAGGTGGACCTGACTCATCGCAGCAGGATATTGACTCTGGAGCGTAATTATGATGCTTTGAGAACCTGATTTTAAAATAATTGAGGTATAAAATTATGCGCCTGGCTTTCACAGTTACTACAGCTCTGTGTATAAATTGAATAACGGCCTGTACAAATGTGCCACTTGGCTATGGCAGAAATAGCAGCGAGTCTGGAAATGTCCTGCGTCACCATTGTTTTCCTCTTGCTGAGAGAAGCCGGGTGCAAGCTGAGTTTTGCAAACAGCCTTAGGCTGCCACCGGTCCCAGTTGTGTGACCGCGGGGGTTTGGCAAACCCACAGAAAGTCCAGCTCGGCAGCTTGACAGCCGAAATCCAGCCTGCCATCGAAAGGCTGGCTGCTTGCTAATCCCAGAACATTGAGCATCGCTGTTCAAACACCTCTGGCTGTTTGTAGCAACGGGCAGGATGCGGGTAAGTGCCAGGGACACAGCTGGTGTTTTGACACCCATTTTCCAAAGCTGTGTTGTGGCTCCCTTGCTTCCAGAAGGGCTTTTTCTTCTCTCTGTAGCAGCCGTCATGTCTGCAGTCAAACTTTAGTGTTTTGTTTGGACAATACAGTAAGCAGTCTTGGTTGTCTATGAAGACTCAAGACTTTGGAAGGAGGCCCCTGTCCTCAGTGAGTTGTCTGAAAGTGTGATTTTGTCACCTCTGTCCACCTGGCATGGTGTTCCCCAAGATCTGAATCTGGTGAAAACCAGATTTTGCTTCCATGGTTTGCCACCTGGGCTCCACTGCTCTTGGAAGGGTTAGGGCAGGTTATTTTCAGCTCAAAGACAGCCCAAGCTGCAAACTTATCTTGATAATTTTTTTTTTAACCAGTCTAGCTTAAAAAAAAAAAAAAGAGCAAACAAGTCAGGTTTGTTCTCCTTGCGTTTCCTTCAAGGTCAGACTGCTGATCCCAGGTGCATTTTCATAGAATCACAGACTGGTTTGGGTTGGAAGGGACCTCAAAGCCCATCTAGTTCCACCCCCCTGCCATGGGCAGGGACACCCTCCACCAGCCCAGGTTGCCCAAAGCCCCATCCAGCCTGATCTTGAACCCTGCCAGGGCGGGGGCAGCCACAGCTTCGCTGGACAACCTGTGCCAGGGCCTCACCACCCTCACAGGGAAGAATTTCTTCCTAGTATCTAATCTAAATCTGCCCTCCTTCAGTTTAAAGCCATTCTCCATTGTCCTATCGCTCCATGCCCTTATAAACAGTCCCCTTGCAGCTTTTTTTGCTGGCCTGCCCAGTTTGAGCTTGCAGTATGGATCTTGCTATTGCCCAGTGTGTTTCCAGGGTTGTTTTCTACCCAACTTTTGGGGATTGGCTGCAGTAGCTGGAGCTGGCAGCTGCTGGAGGAGTTTTGGGGAGTGTCACCTTTCGAACAAGCACATTGTCAGGACCAGCTGCTGCCTGGAGACCTGCAGGCTGAGCCAAAACACTGCTCTTAAACATTGACCGCAGGGAAGTAGAAACCTGAAGGGGAACTTTACAGCAAAACCTCAGCTCTTGTAAGCAGGAAGCTAGACTGGGAGCTACTGCTGTGGCCAGCTGTGGTCCACACGCTGGGTGCTTTGAGGTGGCTGATGCTGTGTCTGCTTGGGACCAAAATGGTTGGGTTTTTTAGTCTGTAATAAAATAAGCCCTCTTGTGTCTTCGCCATCTGAATTATTACCTGACTGGCACTTCATTATAAACACATTTTTTCCATCTTGGTACTGGTTTCCTGCCATTTTATTGCTTTTAAGGTTCTATTTTTTGTTTTATTCATCTCTTCCAATCGATAGAAATATCCTTTTTTTAGCAAGCAGCAAAGGCAGACGTGACTGATGTCCTTATGGTGGGAGCAGAATCGCTTTCAGAGCATTTGGGGAACGAGGAGGGGAGCTTTTAAATCTAATTTTCAAAGATCTCTAAAGCGTAACGAATTGCTTAAGACGTGTAGCTGAGTCTCCCACTGCCATTAACTGCAAGAGTTGGGATCCCAGCATTGTACCAATGCAGATCTGGGGCCAGTGCTTGAAATCCATCCTCTGGTGGTTATTGTTGTTCTTTGCCACGCCACTAATTAAAAACCACCTAATGAGATTATCCCCACCTGTTCTGGAGGATTAGTGTGATGGAGGAAGTCCTGCACGTGCACATGGATGCACACACTTGTGTGCATAGTCATGGCAGTGTTGGGAAGCTCAGTCTTCCCAGAATTATTCTCTACAGGGTTTGCCATGGCAAAGATTTTTATTTTTTTTTAATTCACCCTCACCATGCACACAGATTGCTCTGACAGCAATAAAATGAAACAGAGAATTAAATTTGAAAATAAATTGTTTAGATGATGCAGCACCAGATGAATAGCTCTTCCAGAAGAGTCAGTCCAGGATGGATTTGCTTTACTGCCAAGTTAGAAATGCAGCAATCAAACGAAAGCGAGCTAACAGCATGGCGATGCGGGGGCTGCATGCCTGGGTCGGGCAGACCCTTTGGCTGGGATGCGGTGAGCAGCGCACCTGCGTAAACTCAGCGATGGGTCAGGTCTGATGTGAGGCGGAGATGTTGCAGTGCCCTTTGAGTCCTACGCAGATTAGAAGTCAGTAAACCTGGGTTATAAATACTGAATTTTGTCCCTGGTTGCTCTGTGACCATGGGCATGTGTTTTAACCTCTCTAAACCTTGTAAAAGGTTGGTGAAGTGCTGTGTAAACACCGAGCAGCGCTGAGGCTTGTTGATAGCAGTGTGGTTTCCTGGTTTCCAGACCTCAGTTTAATCCACTAGATAAGTTGGTTGGTTTTATTCTGTTGGGTTTTTGTCTTTTTTTTTTGTGGGTTTTTTTTTTTTTTTTTTTTTTTTTTTTTTTTTTGCCTTCTCCCAGGCATAGGGTTTGGAGCTGGTTTTGCTCCAGCAGCTGTATCTGAAGACTTCCAATAAGCAGAAAGGTGGAACCCAGCGAGTGCTTTGTGTGCTGGGAGAGTGATCATCAGATCCTGCTGAGACTGATTTGGCCTGATAGTAGACAGCCTCACTTCTTGTGTCCTCTCTTCCTCATCAGCCATCTCTTGTCCCCATCTGCTTACATGATTTTATTGTCTTTATCCACAGCCCATAGGGAGTCTTAAGAATATTTGAAAAATTACTGCTTTAACCCTTGGTGTAGTCAATGCTGTATTCCTCATGTTCTTAAGCCATAATTCTATTAAATTGCCTGAAGGTGGGGTATGATGGGAGGGGGGTTTTTATGTGCAGTTTGATCTTTGGCTGTATTCTTATGCAGTGCGAATGTAAAAATGAATCTGGCATCGACATTAGCGGCAGGAGGATTTTGCCTGTGACTACTTTGGAGGTGAAAGAGAAGGGATCCTACCAAGACAGTAATTCAGAATAAAGCAGGGAAGAAAAGTGCATTTCTACTGTCTTTACTGTTAGAATCCAAATGACTTTCTTCATCATGGTGATACTGAGGGCTGAGGAAGTCCAGTTGTTGCCTTTTCTAGCTGCTGAATGAGTGTGAGGGGATAAAACCTGATACCTTTGGGTGGATGCATCTCTGGTGTATTGCTGACATTGGAGAGATACTTTATTGTCCGGCAACGGAAAGTCTGCTTATTCATTTTGAGCTTTTGTCACATCTCTTCCATGGAGATGCTACTGCATATGAAGGTTGGATTCATACGGTGGCAAAGGTCAGGAGGGTAAATAGCTTTGATGGTATCCCCTGAAGGAAATAAAAATTCTTCTAAAAGATTCTGTTCAATGTGATACCAAGGGTCTGGTAGCACTCCAGGGATTTTTCTCTCTGCTATTAAGCTTATAGCTATTACAAAAATTAATGTTTGCGTGTTGTTAGTTTTGGGTGTTTTTTTTTTTTTTTAATAGGATTTTCCCCAAGAAGAATGGAAAATAACTGCTTCTCTCTTTTTTTTTTTTTTCTTTTTCTCTCTCTTTCTCTGTTTCAGGAATCCTCAATGCATTTGCTCACCATTATTTAAGGAGCCTTTAATAAAAGCTTCTGGATTGTGTTTCTGAGCAGACAAAAGATTTTTGTATTCAAAATGCTCATAAAGGAATATTTTTTCTTCCGATGAGTGTGGAAGAATATCGAATTGCGCAGCTGTACATGATACAGGTCAGTAATGTTTCAGCCTGTGTGGATGGGTGCAGGGTAACACGGGGCTTCGTGTGGAAGAGTGGAGTATTGCTGCAGAATTAAATGTTTTAAATTTGAAGCTTGCTGCTTTCTTACAAAGGAGCAATGGGGGAAAGTAATACGAACTTCAGTTTATGACTGGCCTCCTCTTGTCCTTTAAATTAGAGAATCTCTGTTTGACCTATGTGGGGAAACAACAGCTCATAGATAGGCATTTCCCATGGAAAAAAGCACCGAGCCTAAGTGTGGGGCTACCTGACTGGAAGTGATCAAGCTGTAGGGCATATGCAGCTGCTGCTTCCCAGTTGGGCTGTGGTTACTGGTCATGCCAGTTCCAGCTGCAAACCAAAGGCTTGTGCTCTTCTGTTGGGAAGAAACAACCTAGTATAAATTTGAGAAGGTAAATCAAAGGCATAACTTTGAATTTAGTGTGTGTGTGGGAAATCTCAGTGTAATATTTCTTTGCTTATATACCACTATGAAACAGATACTTATCAGTTTAGGCATAAAACTTAGATTATTTTTAATAGGCTTCTGAATACTGATGGGAATTTTTGTTGAACTCCCTGTTTTCAATAAAGCAGTTTTTAATTAAAATGTAGGTTCTTTGTAACTCACATCCTCTGTGCCCATATTCTTCCAGTGTTTGTAATCCAACCAAGAGCGTTTTTAAAAGGAAATGAATCCGAAGTGTTATTTCATTGTCCCACACTTTATATAAAATTTAATTTTGCTCATCCAGCAAAACACACGTCTAATATTGAGTTTGCAGTAGAACTCTGCTTTCTGTGGTAGGATGAAGCAATGCTAGAAAAACATGCTTTGGCTTAAAACCTAAAATGAATTAAGGAAAAACCCCAAACCACCCAAACCAAAGCAAAAGCACAATTCCTCCATTTCTCCCCCAACCTATGTTCCTTTAAGGACTCATGCACTTGGACTTGACTGTTAAAACAGTGTACTGTGTGTGTTTTCCAGTAATAAGTCAAATTCCTTTTTCTGACAGAAATAGCATGTATCATCTCTGTGTGTTTAACCTATATGTTAGCATAAATTAGTAAACACTTTTCTTAGGTGGCTTCACTTTTGTGTATCTTTTCCTAACACTGTAGCTGCTTTGAGAATTGTAATTATTTTGTTACAACTTTGTCTTCTAAATTTGGCTCATCTGTTCAGGATGGGAGCAGTGTATTAGCTATGCAGAACTTGTCAGTGAGCAACAGAGCGTAGAGGAGAATGAGAATGATCTGATTGAGGAGGAGGAGCCCACCTGATTACATGGAGGATGAATCCTTAACCTAGGGGGTATCTGTGGGGGCCTCCTGTGAGATGTGGAGGACTTGGTCAGGGGGCTGAACTTGTTCACTTCCAGAAGAGAAACTTATTTTTACTTTATTAATGCAGAACACTGGATTCCACTTGGTTCACTGGACAGTGATTTTGGCCGTATCTCAATGTCAAAGGACATGATAAACCGGTAGGGTTTCATGCAAGGGGAGGTTCACTGGCCCAGGAAACTACTCAAGAAACTCCAAATTGCCATCTAGCCCCACTTCAGACCTCCTCTAATTTTCTAGTGCATCAATATGCAGTAAAGTAAGATTTCCTCTTAGATTAGGTGCAATAGCTGGTGTCAAGTCAGGTCTCTGATCTCCATTTACCTGGAGTAGGGGATTAAGCTGGAAACAGTGGATGTAGCCCAAGATCCAGGTGAGCTAGAGAAGTGCGTGACAAGCAAGTGACTTTACTGCGTTATGTGTACAAGTAGTACAAGAGGAAAAGTTAGCTGTGCTTTTTATTGGAAATACTAGTCTCAACTCAAATTTGAAAAAAAAAAAACCCAAAAAAAAACCAAAACCAGAAAACCCACTTAAGGTAGAATGTGGAGCTTATATTCTGTTTCTTAGTGTTTGGTAGCAATCAGCTTCAACTCTTCTTGAAATTGGTGGAAAGTTCCTGCCAACTTCAATGGGAGCTTTTCCTAGACCGTGATATCAAATGTCTTTTTTCTTCAGTTTGATTTAAAAGTGGAGGTTTTGTCTCTGAGACAGGCACTGGGGAGAGAGCAGTGGGGAGCATGACTTCCGTTCTTTTCAGAGAATGAGAAAGTGCTTCATGTCTGTCTTTCTATTTTTCCTCTGAAACACGTAAGAAGGCCACAGGAGAAGCAAGTTCTGTATGTTGAACCCCCTTAGGGGAACAAGCTGAGATATCTGTATAAAACAGCAGTGGAGAGGCATTTCTTAGAAATCTTTCACTGAAATGTAGAACAGAATGATTTAAAGTAGTTCCTGGGGAGAGAAGCGGTTCTTAAAAGCAAAAGGTTCATTTCAAAGACATTTGTTGTGTACAGTGTGGTTTCGTTACTGCTGGAGACACTAGTCAGCCTGGTCTCGTAAGAAGACATTTTCCAACAGCGTAAAAAGGAGATGTCACAATTATTCCTCAAGGGTTTTACAGAGCCTTAAGCATGCATTTGAAGTTGATGACTTGTTTAACTTCAAGCTCATGAGTGAAGATCCCCATTAAACTCCAAACCAGTTGGTATAAAGTTACTCTTAAGAGCAACCAAATAATTTTCCTAGATTTCAGCATCCTTCAAACTGAAGTTCTTTTCCAAAAGGACTTTTTCACCTGAGGGATGAAGCAACTGTCCCACGCAGCTGCTCTGGGAACTCTTTCTGTGGAAGTAGTGCCTCAAAGCCACATGGGCAGGGATGTCCAGACTCAAGCTGTAGTACTGCAGTCGTTTTTCGAAGATGTTTCCATGGAGGTTTTTGCTTTGCAGTGGAAGGTCCTTTTGTTTCCTTTCATGAGAGAACAGTCCTTCTTCCTTAGAAGTCTTAACAAAAATTTCCACCAGGTTTGATGTAAGCAGCATCACACCCAAGTAGCAAAGGATCCTTCCATTAAACCAGGACAGGCTGTACTCATATTTACTATGTTTACTGGATGGGAGAATTAAAATTGTGCAGTATATAATCCAGCATCTCTGTTGGTTCTCTGCGCCACTAGGCAGGTGAGACATGTAATAAATCATTGTGTGCGTGCCCACGTTGCACTGTAATTCCTCTTATACTTAAAGTTCTCCAGGCTGGTGTGTAAAGCTGTAAAAACTGAGGTGAGCAGCCTACTGCTTTGCTTTTTCATTTTTAATTTTTATTTTTTAAATTTGAGGGTGGCAGGAGGGGAGAAACAAGTCTCTTAAGTGTTGCTTTCTTCTAGCTTCTGAAATATTATCTACAGAGACAGTGGTTTCAGTACTTTAAGTAGCACTTAAATTCTTCTATAAATAAGTTAATTTTACATTACAGCAAAGGGCTTAATGTACCCTTGACTTGCTTGAAGCCTAGCAGATCTGAACTGAATTGTTTTTCTCTATTAAAATTTAAACTATCAATATCCATATTTTCATGGGAAACCTCTGACGCAGTGCTGTCAACGCGTTCAGGTTGGGAGCCCTTGCTGTGTTTGCTGCTGAGCGGTTAGATCTCAGCTCTTCCGTATGCACAAGGGGTTTTTTTGCATCATTGCTGAGTTGTTGTCTCTTTTGCTATCCTAATTAAAACATACTAATTTTTGTATCTGAGCTCAGAACCAGTGATCCTCCTTCCTGCTGTGACCAGTTTTTATTCTGGTGCATAAAACAGGCAAAATATTTCAGAACAGTGAAATTCTTTGTACCTCTTTTCTAGACAATAGTTTTGTAGTGTAACTTTGTCCTAAAACCTGTACGCACATTTAAAAGTCTGTCCTGTTTCCAAGGGTGAGAGATCTCTAGATAAACTTGACCTTGAGAACTGCCCAGAGGACTGGGAGAGCTGCAGCTTGATTTGGGGAAACTGCAGGCTCCTATCGTAACATAAGCAGAAAGCAACTAGAGATGAGCGCTGAAATGAGCTTCATGAAGCACAAACCACTTACGGAGGGGATGACTGTGGGCATCTGCAGGGACTTCTGTCTTCCTGCAGGAGTGCTGAACTGAGGAGACTGTCCTGGATGTCTTCTCTGACACTGCACATCACACCAAAGGCGTGTGCAATATTTCTGTCTCTGCGAGGACTTTGAAGCCTGTCAGGCACAGGGGATAAGACCGTCCTGCGTTGTGAAGAGACCCTTACTGAAGGGTCTCTTAATTCTTCGTCTTCTAAGTGTCCTGCGTATTTGTGTCTCAACAGTTATCCTTTCCTGTAACACTCCCTTGTGTGTTTAGGGAACCTACCTTTCTGTATGCCTCACCCCAGAAACAATGCACACTTTAATGTTAAGTCTCTATCTCATAAAAGCTTGTATTCCAAGGCCTGAATGTGTTTGTGATAAAGATCAGTATATTATTAGCCAAAGGTCAGTCCATTTATCACCTTAATACCATTCATTACTGTGGATCCATATGCCATGAGATTCCGAGAGACCGTTGCCCTTCTGAGCTTTACATAAGATGAGAGAATTCCTCTTGTTATTAAATCTTATTTTTATATTGGTGTGCATAGCTTGCTTTCTCTGCTGTAAATAACTCCGGTCCTCATTTTCTCCATGCAGTTTTCTCTGATACTTGTGACCTTCCTCCAAAGATAGTGTACTTTGAAAATATTCTTCTGGACCTAGTGATTACCTTTTGAGGAGACTTATTTTAAGATGCTGCGTCACCTTTGTAAGCTAATAATGTTAATACTTTGTTATTCGTCACTTCGAGGGTCCGTGGCTGGGGGTGGACTCTGGCCCGTTTGAGGCAATCTGTTAAAGATGACCTGTCTGCTCAGCACTGTCGGCTGAACTTGGGCAGGATCCTGGGAATCGAGGGCTCTTATCTCTTAATACGAGCTTCTCTTCTACAGTCCCTCAGGGCTTTGCATTTACTGATGTCTCTCAAAAATCAGAGCGTGTTTCCAAGCGTCTGCAGTGTGCTGTACTCACCTGTGCTGCTGCTGCTGGCGTACCCTGAGTCGCTTTCCTCCTTTCCGAAGACTGGTGGTTTGTCC